CCGTTAGAGACGAGATGGATACTTGATCAACCAATGGAGCCGTTAGAGACGAGATGGATACTTGATCAACCAATGGAGTCGTTAGAGACGAGATGGGTTCTTGATCAACCAGTGGAGCCGTTAGAGACGAGATGGATACTTGATCAACCAATGGAGTCGTTAGAGACGAGATGGGTCTTCACTTGTTTTTAGAATTTAAAATAAAAATCTAATTTTTGAGTTTAAGTTGTAGTTTGAAATAAGTACCAAACGTATATAATATTAGACTTCATGATTTTGGTATTAATATGCGTGTGTATATCTGGTATGAAGCTTATTAGTATTTATAAATGTGTGAACAAATTTGACCTGTAGGGTCATGTGTTTATTTTACTACTACAGTGTATAACTAGGTATCCCATGGAGTACTAGTGCTCTGATGCTAAAATTACTATTTATAAAAGTATGTAATACAAGTTCTTCAGACATTTTTCCCATGAAAACAGCTGTTAGTTTTGACTTCACTACTATTTTGATATAACTTTTCAGTTTCTAAGGCCAAACTCTAATTGACCTTTTTTTGTGTATATAATTAATAAAAATAAAATGTTTTTGTTGTTTCAACCACAACAACATTACCTTTTATCTTAGTTGTTTATCCACCAGGAAATTCACTGTGTACAACTTTCAGGTATTAAAACAACAAATGGATCACAACAATCCAGTCCAGATAAACCCACCATACCAGTTGGGCTTAGTGGACTCTTTGCTCAAGGAATGCCTAAGCTACGTCCTACAGGAGTAAGGCCTCAAACTACCAGTAAGAATACAAAATCTGTGTGTAAAAATATACATAGTACCATGTTTGTGCTGACATGCAGAAACTTATATTTGTGTAATATCATACTCCAAGCTTTAATTGATTAGGTTCTGTTTTGCTGTTAATTCTTGTCTTCTACTTCCAGTTAATAATCGATTAGGTTCTGTTTTGCTGTTAATTCTTGTCTTCTACTTCCAGTTAATAATTCGATTAGGTTCTGTTTTGCTGTTAATTCTTGTCTTCTACTTCCAGTTAATAATTGATTAGGTTCTGTTTTGCTGTTAATTCTTGTCTTCTACTTCCAGTTAATAATTGATTAGGTTCTGTTTTGCTGTTAATTCTTGTCTTCTACTTCCAGTTAATAATTGATTAGGTTCTGTTTTGCTGTTAATTCTTGTCTTCTACTTCCAGTTAATAATTGATTGGGTTCTGTTTTGCTGTTAATTCTTGTCTTCTACTTCCAGTTAATAATTGATTGGGTTCTGTTTTACTGTTAATTCTTGTCTTCTACTTCCAGTTAATAATTGATTGGGTTCTGTTTTACTGTTAATTCTTGTCTTCTACTTCCAGTTAATAATCGATTAGGTTCTGTTTTACTGTTAATTCTTGTCTTTTATTTCCAGTTAATAATTGATGTAGATCACTAGCAAGAATAATCATCACATTGTATATATATATATATATAGGTACTTTACTAGATTAGTGTACAATTTTTTATTTTTTTTTTGTTTCATGGCTGACCTTGGGATTTCAGTGTAAGAATATTTTATTTATACCACTGTCATGGCAAAGATTCATGTCTGGGAGACTCTTTGCTTGTTTGTAAATAGGATCTGGGAGTTGACAAAGAACTTGCATGATATGCACATAGCCTTACAGCACTAAATGAATAACAATAATATTCAGATTGTTTTAGTGTAGTTTTTAGATGATAATCCACTTCATGTAAAACTAAATGTTTCTTAGATGTTTTGTTTTTATACTGTGATTCATATTTTTCAGAAAAACTCAATTAAATTACATTGTCATTCCTCAGATGGATTTATCAACAGAGGTCCATTGATTCCTCCAAAAACTATTATCAACAGTCCTCCAACAACACAGCCACCTGAAATTAGCCAGAGTCACTCATCACCACCTAGCCCAAAATCATCATCTTGGAGGAATGTTGACAATAACTGCCCGAAAGTTTTGGAGCAAAATAAAAAGGTTTTACAAAACAATGGTTTCTCCTCTTCTAGAGGACCACCTCCAGCACCTCCCTCACCCAGTCAGAAACCCGTACCGAGAACCCTTGACCAAAGACACAGTCGAACAGGACCACCAGTTCCTAACAAACCTCCTGGTCTTATGAGATCTGCTTCCATGACTAGCCTTGGACCTAAAGGAAGTCGAAAACCTCCACCCTTGGTCAAACCTCCTCCTCCACCTAAGTCTTCTTCATTAATTCAGAATTATAAACCTCCACATAAACCAGGAAATGTACCTCGTCGTCAAAGCTTTGATGCTTCAGACGTACAGACAGCATCTTCTCCTTCAGTGCAATATACTTCATCAACTCTTAAGCCTCCACAGACATTGCCAACTAAGTTAAGCCAGAGGACACCCAACACTGTGGAGGAAATCAGTTACCATATAACTCTGAAACCTAAGGCAAACTTATCTCTGTCGCCTTCACAACCTGTACTTCCAGTGAGAAACGTTTCATTGCTTCAGACCAACAATGTGTGGCCTTCATCATCACCACCACCTCCACCAGTTAGGTGCCATCCACCACCTCCCCATTGTGTCACTACATTGTCTCAACTGAAAGTACCACTTTCTCCTCACCCTTCAGAAACCTTGTTACCCCCTCCTCCTCCTGCTAGACACTCTTCGGTAACAGTTTCACAACCAACTGTGGGTAAGCATGAAACACTGGGCTCATTTCAAACCATATGTTATGTTTTAAAAGAGGTTAGAACAGCCACTTAAAAAAATAATTTTGTTTTCATTATTAAGGAATCATAAGAATGATAAAATGTAAGGAAAGTGCCGAGGTATAAAATAACATTTTACAACCTGTTCTTTGTTCACCTTTTTCTTTACTCTTTAAATATCCAACATCTGCATATATTCAGATGTTATCTCTCATTTATTATTATTTTTTTTTTCCATTATTATTATTAAGGATTTAATCTTACTTTCTGGCAATTGCTTGTACAAATGTGTTAATGAACAATGTAGTTGTGTATTAAAATTTAGCTTATTTTCTTTTGATTTGTTTTTCTTTCAGTCAGTTTTGAGGCAAAGTTTATTGACAAGTTTCACTGTCAGAAGGAGCTGCCTCCTCCCTGTAGTTTTAAAAACATTACCAAATCCTATCCGAGCAAGTGTAAGTGCCTATGTGATATTATAATACTGTTTAATCTGTATAAAATTTAGTACCTATAATTCATTATAGCAGTAAATACTAAGTCCATACTGGTGCTGTTGGATCGATATGAGTACTAGAAAGTTACAGTAATTCTGAGTGAACATTGTTGTTTTTAGTTACTGCTAGAAATGAGTGAACATTGTTGTCTTTAGTTACTGCTAGAAATGAGTGAACATTGTTGTCTTTAGTTACTGTTAGAAATGAGTGAACATTGTTGTCTTTAGTTACTGTT